CAATATAAAAAAATCCAGAAGATTCTGATAATTATAATGGCAAAGGTAGAATTCACATTTGATGATATTTTAGCTAATACTCTATCAAAAATGAAAAGATTTGAAGAAGCTTTGGAAAATTATGATTAAGCAATATAAAAAAATCTAGGAGACTCTATATATTATTTTAATAAAGGTATAATTCACATTTGATGATATTTTAGCTACTACTCTATCAAAAATGAAAAGATTTGAAAGAGCTTTGGAAAATTATGATTACGCAATATAAAAAAATCCAGAAGATTCTAAAAATTATAATGGCAAAGGTACAATTCACATTTGATGATATTTTAGCTAATACTCTATCAAAAATGAGCAGATATGAAGAAGCTTTGGAAAATTATAATTTAGCAATATCAAACAATCCAGAAGATTCTGATAATTATAATGGCAAAGGTTTAATTCACATTTGATGATATTTTAGCGAATACTCTATCAAAAATGGAAAGATTTGAAGAAGCTTTGGAAAATTATGATTCAGCAATATAAAAAAATCCAGAAGATTCTAGATATTATAATGGCAAAGGTATAATTCACATTTGATGATATTTTAGCTAATACTCTATAAAAAATGAAAAGATTTGAACGAGCTTTGGAAAATTATATTTCAGCAATATAAAACAATCCAGAAGATTCAAGATATTATTTTAATAAAGGTGTAATTCACATTTGAGGATAATTTAGCTAATACTCTATCAAAAATGAACAGATTTGAAGAAGCTTTGGAAAATTATGATTCAGGAATATTAAAAAATCCAGAAGATTCTAGATATTATTTTAATAAAGGTATAATTCACATTTTATGATATTTTAGCTAATATTCTATCAAAAATGAGCAGATTTGAAGAAGCTTTGGAAAATTATGATTAAGCTATATAAAACAAACCAGAAGATTCTAGATATTATTTTAATAAAGGTATAATTCACATTTGATGATAATATAGCTAATACCTTAGATAATATGAACAGATTTGTAGAAGCTTTGGAAAATTATGATTATGCAATATAAAAAAATCCAGAAGATTCTGATAATTATAATGGCAAAGGTTTAATTCACATTTGATGATATTTTAGCTAATACTCTAGATAATATGAACAGATTTGAAGAAGCTTTGGAAAATTATGATTCAGCAATATAAAAAAATCCAGAAGATTCTAGATATTATAATGGCAAAGGTACAATTCACATTTGATGATATTTTAGCTAATACTCTATCAAAAATGAAAAGATTTGAAGAAGCTTTGGAAAATTATGATTCAGCAATATAAAAAAATCCAGAAGATTCTAGATATTATAATGGCAAAGGTACAATTCACATTTGATGATATTTTAGCTAATACTCTATCAAAAATGAAAAGATTTGAAGAAGCTTTGGAAAATTATGATTCAGCAATATAAAAAAATCCAGAAGATTCTAGATATTATAATGGCAAAGGTATAATTCATATTTGATGATATTTTAGCTAATACTCTATCAAAAATGAACAGATTTGAAGAAGCTTTGGAAAATTATGATTCAGCAATATAAAAAAATCCGGAAGATTCAAGGTATTATTCTAATAAAGGTATAATTCAAAATGGATGATATTTTAGCTAATACATTAGATAAAATGAACAGATTTGAAGAAGCTTTGGAAAATTATGATTCAGCAATATAAAAAAATCCGGAAGATTCAAGGTATTATTCTAATAAAGGTATAATTCAAAATGGATGATATTTTAGCTAATACATTAGATAAAATGAACAGATTTGAAGAAGCTTTGGAAAATTATGATTCAGCAATATAAAAAAATCCGGAAGATTCAAGGTATTATTCTAATAAAGGTATAATTCAAAATGGATGATATTTTAGCTAATACATTAGATAAAATGAACAGATTTGAAGAAGCTTTGGAAAATTATGATTCAGCAATATAAAAAAATCCGGAAGATTCAAGGTATTATTCTAATAAAGGTATAATTCAAAATGGATGATATTTTAGCTAATACATTAGATAAAATGAACAGATTTGAAGAAGCTTTGGAAAATTATGATTCAGCAATATAAAAAAATCCGGAAGATTCAAGGTATTATTCTAATAAAGGTATAATTCAAAATGGATGATATTTTAGCTAATACATTAGATAAAATGAACAGATTTGAAGAAGCTTTGGAAAATTATGATTCAGCAATATAAAAAAATCCGGAAGATTCAAGGTATTATTCTAATAAAGGTATAATTCAAAATGGATGATATTTTAGCTAATACATTAGATAAAATGAACAGATTTGAAGAAGCTTTGGAAAATTATGATTCAGCAATATAAAAAAATCCGGAAGATTCAAGGTATTATTCTAATAAAGGTATAATTCAAAATGGATGATATTTTAGCTAATACATTAGATAAAATGAACAGATTTGAAGAAGCTTTGGAAAATTATGATTCAGCAATATAAAAAAATCCGGAAGATTCAAGGTATTATTCTAATAAAGGTATAATTCAAAATGGATGATATTTTAGCTAATACATTAGATAAAATGAACAGATTTGAAGAAGCTTTGGAAAATTATGATTCAGCAATATAAAAAAATCCGGAAGATTCAAGGTATTATTCTAATAAAGGTATAATTCAAAATGGATGATATTTTAGCTATTACATTAGATAAAATGAACAGATTTGAAGAAGCTTTGGAAAATTATGATTCAGCAATATAAAAAAATCCGGAAGATTCAAGGTATTATTCTAATAAAGGTATAATTCAAAATGGATGATATTTTAGCTAATACATTAGATAAAATGAACAGATTTGAAGAAGCTTTGGAAAATTATGATTAATCAATATAAAAAAATCCAGAAGATTCTGATAATTATAATGGCAAAGGTACAATTCACATTTGATGATATTTTAGCTAATACTCTATCAAAAATGAGCAGATATGAAGAAGCTTTGGAAAATTATGATTCAGCAATATTAAAAAATCCAGAAGACTATAGATATTATTTTAATAAAGGTACAATTCACAATTGATGATATTTTAGCAATTACTTTATCAAAAATGAAGAGATTTGAAGAAGCTTTGTATAATTCTGATTTAGCAAATTAGAAATAACCACACAACTCCATCTATAATTCAGTTAAAGGTATAATATTATCTTTACAAATATTTAGCTCTCACTTTATATTTTAAATACAATATACATGAATAAATCTAATGACTCTTATTAAACAAGCATAATAAATTTTCTGACAATTATTTACATCATAGAAACGAAAATTTTATATAATATATAGCTCAATAATAAAGACTTTATTATTCTACATCTAATTTGCATTTACTTTTATACCATTAACTGCCGATCAAGTTTAAAATATTAGGAATTTAAAAAAAACTATTTTTTGAATTATTTAATTAGAGGCCAAACTGCTGAAGAGTTCTTATTTTTAGAAATATATTATTTATAAACTTATCAAATTTAAACTAAATTGGATGAATGGAATAAAAAGGTTCTAAATCATATTTCAGGTTATAAATTGAGGACTCCATAATATAAAAGTCGAAAATCTAAATTTTTAATCATCTGATTAACATGAGAACTATGAGATCTGAGTATAACTTGTATTTTTGAGGCAAATCACATTTGAATTCACGTAAGAACTGTATGATTAAGGCACTAATCAATTTGGAAAATTCTTGATGAAGAGCCATTCCTCTTTCTGATATTAAACACTTAAATGAAGCATCATTGAGTTGCAGAGTATTGATCTCTATAAGCTGGAGAGGCCACAATCCTTTATTGTACCGTACATATATTGCCTTCATATATTTCTACTAAACATATGATTGTATAAAATTAAAAATGGATCTATTAGTCCTAACAACAAACTAGTATTGTAGTATGGGAATTAGAGCACTGCTATTACCCATTTATAATTCATATCTTTGTTAATGCCTGAGACTTGCTTTCTAGTGAATAATCAGCTCTCCATTTAGGAGTTAAAGCGTAATGAAATAACTAGAATGCAGTCTATCTTTATGGAGGACTGTGGTATAAATTAAATCTTTTGGTTTAATAAAATTCGGATAGAAATAGAGAAATATGAATTTAAAAAGTATTATAGAAGAAGAAATAATAGCAAATGGATAAAAGAAATCAATTTCTTAAAAAATCTATTACGGATAATAATTTTTAAGTCATCTCAGAATGAAGAATAAAATCAACTCTTCAAATAAAGAATATTACTATTGGCGAATGTATCATTTAACGTACTTTTCAACATTTTTTATCATTCACAAATCAAAGAGTTCCTAATTAAAATTTGTAAAAAATGTAAATTTAATTGGATAATAGATAACAGTCAAATCAATACTTATTATTCTTATCGTAAAATAAGTCCAATAAATCTTACTATTGTAACTTAGTATTTTCTATCCTATAATAATACCTTCTTTATAATATTTATATAGATTGACCTTTGTATTCTTTAGTCTTTGTCATTCCAATAAAGAATGCCTTTAAGGCAGAATCATTCGTTACCCCGTTTTCCATTTATGTCTCGATCAGCTTTTTCAAAGGTAAAAGATTTTTCCTATGTACTACAAGAAGATAATTTTGAAATTTTTGATTCCTCCTTAGCTGTAAAATTGATAAAATTTTTTGATTTAAATTAGAGGAAAAGAACCTTATTTTGACCCAGACAATTTAGGAGAAAGCCAATGAATGTGACTATAATATTTAACTGCCACGGATGATGATGAATGAGAAATGGTGAAGATTACGAAAAGATTGAACAATGGGATAAATTAAGGTAGCTAAAGTATTGGGTTCAGATTCTAAATCTATTAATAACTTAGATTAAAGAAAAGATGATGGCTGGTCTTTCTATTATGTAGAAATCTTTGAAGGTGGAAATAGAGCATCCACATCTTAATAAAGTATTGTTTTATGTTAGAGTTAATTTGCTTATGATAGGTCTAGTAGTGATGAATTAATAACATTTTATTACAACAACATAAACATAATTTGTCATCGATTGATACTACTGTCTCTGTTTGAGCAGTTGTGTTATAACTTAAAATTTTCATTTTTTTGTAAAACTGAGGGTCCCACTTAGATTATTCTCTTTTTACAATAATTTCTAATTCCTCACAAAAAGTTTAAACCATCATAACATTTTTGGAATTTTTTTATCTATATGCTAAAATAC